TTATTAATCGCATTCTCAATAAGGTTACTGGGCCCTTCGCGCGGACTCTTGGCTCAAATGGAATTTCCGAGAATTGGATCAGTATACGTAGTTCTTTAATAAATAATTTTGCAGACCACCGTGATGAGACCTCTCTGTATAATAATTAATTTCTCATAAGTCAGGATTCAGTAAAGTAATAAAACATACACAGACACACACCCACACACACACATAATTTACGCATACACACATACCCCATGTGGTTTCCTTATATGTGTATTCCTATAAGTATTGCAATAATGATTGTTTATTCATTTCGTTGATTCGTTGATTCGGAGGTGAAAGGTGTTGTAGCTTCACATAGAGTCAATGCCAACAAAATTGCGGTTGTTTTTAAACAATACAACACTGCAAATAATTTCATCACAAATACAGACTTTTTAACAAAGCACAACTTAAAGGCGGTAGGAAGGAAAAAACTGGAATTATTCGATTAGTACCTACCAACATTTCGAACAAAGATTATATACGAAACTGTCTTCGATCTATGAAATTATTTCAGTGACAAGATTCACGAAAAAAATCGGTCAAAGTACTGTAGGTCTCGAGACTGTCAGTATAACATTCTTGTCAAATGTTCTGCCCGACATCCAATATGACCTATTTCCGTTTAGGGTGTTTGAATATGTCCTGCCGTTGCAAAAAGTACACTTTGTAAACATATTACAAATTAGATGATTATATTCAAGATAAGAATGCTTGGAAACATGCTGGTCCTGCTCCATAGGACAATCATAGAGCCTGGACAAAATCAAATTGATTGCTGATTTTTTGCTTTATATTTTTGTTATTATTTAAATTTCCAAACTCCAGAAGTGCATACATTTTAGGTTTTTATTCATTTTGTTTTCAATTTTAGATATTTTTGCTTAAAATTTAGTGTAACTAGCAGAATTGAGAAGTAGTGACCTTAAGAAATGGAGGGTAACGAGGGGGGGGGATAACCCGCCCACCTCCAATAAACGTCCTCGCGTCCTTTTTCCAAACCAAATTATAAAAGACTATCCAGAGAACTCTGTTAATACCGAGATTAAAGTATTTGTTGAAGCTACTAATAAGGACAGACTGGGCAACAAGAGCCCCATTTACTTAAACCACATTTTTGCAACTGAAGTTAAAGGTGTGACGGCAATTCAACGAGGGAATGCCAGGAAAATTGCAGTTATTTTTAAACAGTATAATACAGCAAATAACTTTATTAACTATTCATCGTTTAAAAAAAAACGAAATGAAAGAATTCATTCCTGCTGCACAGATTGAAAAGACAGGAATCATAAGATTTGTTTCGACTAACACTACCAATAAAGAGTTGTACAGTAGGCTATCATCATCAATATATGAAATTATTGCGATCAGAAGTTTTACAAAGAAAGTAGGGCATGAGTAGCATTACTTTTCTATCTAATATTCTACCAGATAATATACAATACGATTTATTCTCTTATAGAGTTTTTGAATATATACCACCATTACAACAATGTTTGAAAGAGTTTTAACTTGTATAATAAGGTCAACACTTCGATTTTCATATATCCTCTAATAAAACATGAGTGCAAGAAGACGGTTGCACTGTGGCTACTGGACCTCAACTATCAGGAAACAGAAAAAATGCTCGATTAAACAACTAGCCGACAACTTTGCCCTATATTTCAGCACTGCTGTTGAAAGTGTCGTTGACTGTGATTAGCAAACACGGACATCATGTGTGACCAAACGAACCAAAGCCTACGATTCAAATACGCGACCGCAGAACAAATTAATAAAATTATACAAACTCTAAATGCGGAAAACTCCGGGCCTTGATGGCATTAAAGTATACGACCTAAAGTTAATAAAAAACGAAGTTTCTCCTGCAATAAAAAAATCTAATTAACCAAAGTATTAAATACGGGCTTTATCCAAACGATTTAAAACAAGGATGTGTAAGACCTTTTTTTTTTTTATAGAACGGGGGGCAAACGGGCAGGAGGCTCACCTGATGTTAAGTGATACCGCCGCCCATGGACACTCAATGCCTAAGGGCTCGCGAGTGTGTTGCCGGCCTTTTAAGAATTGGTACGCTCTTTTCTTGAAGGACCCTAAGTCAAATTGGTTCGGAAATACTTCAGTGGGCAGCTGGTTCCACATAGTGGTGGTACGCGGCAAAAACTACCTTGAAAAACGCTCAGTTGTGGAATGGCGGACGATGAGGTGATACGGGTAAGACCTGTCTTTAAAAAAGGAAAGAAAGGTGATTATGCCAAATACCGACCTATAACGATACTAATCTTCAATAAACAAGATAGTAGAGAAATATATCGGGGAACAAATTTAATCTTTTTTAAGCGATATGACATAATATACAAAAACCAATTTGGTTTTCCAGCAGGCAAACCTCGGGGCTGCTATCGCGTTTCACTGACGAAGTAAATAATAACCTAGATCTTAAAAAATATACTCTTGCTTTGTTCATCGATTTTTCCCGCGCGATTTAATCATATAGGAATTCAGGGGCCACTAGGTATCTTGGGTTTGCGCAACACGCAGATAAGACATGCAAAAAGGCTTACAGAAACTTGGGGTTCATATTACGAATAGCTTGTGGCTTCACGAATATCAGTGCAATTAAAATTTTATACAAAGCGTTAGTTAGAAGTCACTTGGAGTGCAACGCAATGGTGTGGGTCCCATATGAGGCTAAATACAGTCTCATGTTAGAGCAAGTACAAAATAAATTCACCCGTTACGAGACAAGAGACTGTATGGAGTGTATCCCTTGTATCCGCTTATGTACCCGACCATGTTTGTTCTCGGTATGGTGGGTTATGACCAGCTACGCCTCAGAAGAGAGCTGGCTTTAGCTCAGTATATTTATTTAAGATACTTACGGGTCGGGTGCATAATCTGAATATAATGGAGAGACAGAGTCTACGCATTTTAGCAAAAACCTCGGAAATTTTTAGTTTTTCTTATTTTAAAAATAGTGTTTATTAGTGAAAATTTTTAAAAGTAGTGCTGTTCTGTAGAGACAGTAGAGGTGACCTGATTTTATAGTGACCAGAAACCGGGGTTCCGCCCCCCAACCAGCAGCCCCTTAATTAAGCCAGCGTTAAGTATAGGATTTATTATAATTCGTGCTTGTCTTTAGAAATTCGACCGTGTCCTCCACGGTTTAAGTGTGGTTTTACAGTGACGCTTTCGCCAGCGCAGTTGGTAAGCGTCGCGGGCCACGAGCTTTGCGTCTCATGGATCATTACATAGTCACGCGGATGGCCCGCGTTGACGGCAATTCAGCCGCGCTTTTCAACCGCGTGCGGGCGAGGAGTCATTGTGTTCAGTGTGCGTTGCACAGTCTCGCCGGTCGGACGCGCGCATGCGTACCGTCGTCGCCAAAATGAATGCGAATTATATCGATACGGGTCGATTGATTGAAGAAGTTCGCTTTCGACCGTTGCTGTGGGATCCATCGAACGAATTATACAAAAACAAAGACGCAAAAAATAAGGCTTGGGAAGAAGTTGGAGAAGCAATCTTTGGAGAAAATTACATAAAGAAAGACAAAGGTATGTTTATAAAATTTGTATTTTTATCAATTACATTTATAATATAAAATTTATATTATGTTGGTATAAAAGTCGTCGTTAAACATATGTAGGGTAAGATTTCAATCGATATGTAGGGTAAGATAAGGTAAATTGATCAATTTTACTTGTTGGAGCACTATCTTTATGGATTTAAAAATAAGATTGTGGATTTTTGATGATTTGAACACTCTTCAACGGTTTACTTGCAGAAAAAACACATTAGATTAGTCATAAATGACTATGAATCATCACTATAGTCTATACTTGAAAGGACGACAATGAATTCAATTCCACTAATAAGTTCTTTCAAATAGGTACTAGGTAGGTACCTCTAGAATATTTGTCTGTCTTGCCACGAAACACTGCCAGCAGGCGATATAAAGTAATCGGCAAACACTTCGCGTAGTGTGTTTCCTGTTCTAGAAACTGGCTGAAGATTCATGTCAATCAAACCACTAATGCTTAATAAGTCATTTCCATTGTAGCCGTCTCGCACTCTGATAAAATTGTGTAATACGCAACAAGCTTTAACTATAGTTTTTGCGTTGGAGAAGCTCACGTTCATTGGAGTGTGAAACACTCTAAACTTGTTTGATAATATTCCAAATGTACATTCTATGTACCTTCTGGCACGACTTAGACGGTAATTGAATATCTTCTGTTTGTGGCTCATATCATTTCGAAGATAAGGTTTCATCACATAGTTCGATATGCCAAATGCACCATCACCAATTATTATATGAGGTGCCACAATATTAGATCCTTGCAGGTACTTTGGAGCCGGTAACCTTAAATTATTTCTTTCTAACTGTTGAAATAGTACACTGTTTTGGAATATGGTGGAATCAGAGTTTTTCCCACAAGAACCAATGTTGACATAAGTAAAGCAATAGTTGGCATCGCACATTGCCAGAAGGACAATAGAATAAAAATGTTTGTAATTGTAAAACATTGACCCTCCACCTGCGGGATTAACTATGCGTATATGTTTACCATCTATTGCCCCACAACAGTTAGGAAAGTTTGCATACATCTCAAACTCTGCACTAATACGTTGCCACATTTGCGTTGTCGGTTGAGGAATGCATTCTTCGCGTAGTTTTTCCCATATCTCACAGCAAACTTCCTTGACGATTTTGCTTATAGTAGTAACGCCCATTCTGTATGTGACATGTAGATCGGAGTAAGTGTTCCCAGTAGCTAAGAATCTGAAAAAAATATATATAATTATTAGAACTAGTAGAAAGTTCCAAGTAGGAAAGGATTCATAAAAAGTACAAGTGAGAAGGCGTGATACACAAAATATTATTTTTGCCAATTTTTTTTGTTTCAGATAAGCTTTTACGTCAAAGATGGAAATCTGCAAGAGATGGATATTTCAAAACCAAAGCTAATATGAAAAAAGCACCATCTGGTAGCGGGGCAAAAACCGTTACAAAATACATTTATTTCAAAGAATTAAACTTTCTTGATCGTATCACTGAAAACGAAGTTTCAGAATCTATGTACAACATTAATGAACAATCAAGTTCATCTGAAACAATAGCTCACGTAGTAAATAACGACGAAATTTCTGGCTCTTCTCAAAACAGTTCTACTCCGGTGGCTGACCAAGATAAACCAACATGGACTCGGAAGAGGAAACATGAACGGGTACAAGAGAACTCCGCGTTTGAGAAAAAGTTGGTAGATTTGTTAGACAAAAATATGCCAGACATAAGCTCTGACGATTTGTGATTTTTTAATTCTCTAGGTCCAATACTAAAATCTTTTAACAGTTATAAAAAACTATTATTTCGTGCCAAAGTATTGCAAATCGCCATGGATCTCTCCGCGCCAACTTCAAGTGGCACTACGTCGACGTCCAACATCTTGTCACCAGAACATAACTCAAATTCTACTACAACATCAACAACCAATCATTCTAATGATACTACTACGCAACGAGGTTATCAATCAGCAAGTCAATATTACACCGTCATGTCACCAGAAAATGATTCTAATTCTTCTGTAATGTGTGCAACCAATTCATCATATTTTTCAAACCAAACGCTACCAGTCAACGAATCAATGTCTAGTACCACCACTCAGCAAGGCTATCAAACAGCAAATCAATATGATCCTCATTCAACAGTCAATAATTCTGTTCAGCAAAGCTGTGAAGAAATACAGCACTTTCCAAATATTGCATCAGAAAACGACAATTTCTATTAATTACATTTCAACGAGTTTTGTTTTTTTGATTGTTTAAATTTGTAAATAAAGTAATTACTAAAAATTAAATAGTATTTTTCATGCCACTTACCTTAAGGTAATCGCCAACTTTTCAACTGGTTCTATAGGTGCTCGACGTAAACTTGATCTTTTTAAATTATGTTCTATCTTGCAGAGTAATTCATCAAATGTTGTTATAGACAGACGAAAATGTTTAAAGAACTTGTCACTATGTTCTCTTAAATCCGCAAACGATGTAGAGAACGCGCCTCTCAGCAATCTAGTGGCATTGTAAGGATGTACTTGTATACGTCGTCGTCGTTGCCTTTTTTTCCATAAGTAATATAGTATAATAAATACGAGAAGTCTCATCACGACTGTATGAGCCGGCAAACCGATCACGACTGTACGAGGCGGCTAACCGCGCGACTAGCTTTAAAACTAGTTTTAAGTTTCGAGCGGGTCATCCGCGCGCTTACCACCCGCGCGGACAGAAGCGTCACTGTAAAACCACACTAAGCACTCGCCCGGTACCGCACAACCCTCTCAAAGGCCGAGAACAAATTGAAATTAAATTAAAACTTGCCCTCGGACCGGGAATCGAACCCGGTACCCCTCACCTAGCTGCCACTTAATAAGACCGCTAGGCTATGAGGCCCCTAAATGTTTCTTTCTTTTACTTATAATCCTGCCAGTCACGTAGACACTATTTATACAACTTTACATTGAGCTCGACGTTGCTAAGTCACATAGACAAAAAACGTTTGTGATTACTTTTGATCAACCTAAAGCGCCCTGTAAACGATCAAATTTGCTTGTCAAATTTGTTTGTCAAACTTCACGTTTTCATCAAACACTAGCTTAGACGATCAAACCAAATATCAAACAAATTTGTTAAATTTCTAGTAGATTCTGGTTTCTCCTTTCGTAACGTGACGTCGCCGTGTCGAGCGCTTACAATGAGTAATTCAGATGACGCATTTTTGGCATTGACTCTAGCACTGTGTATCAAGACAAAAAAAGAAGATGGAGTCGAGAATGGTTGAAATTAAGAGATAAATATACCCACGAGAATTTGCTACGGGAAATATTTCGCACTGAACCTGAAGACTACGCAAACTTCCTGCGCATGGACCATAAAACTTTTGAAGATTTACTGACTATACTCCATCCTCGTATTGAAAAACAGGACACAGTTATGCGGACATCTATACCAGCTTTTCAAAGGTTATCAATAACTTTGAGGTACCTGGCTAGCGGCGATGATTTTGAAGACTTCAAATTTCAAGCCTGCGTTGCACCTCGAACATTGAGCAACATTATCATTGAAACTTGTGAAGCAATAAATGAAACACTATTCAACAATATTCAGGTAAGGTTTTATTTAATAAATAAAATAAAAAGCCTTTTATTTCTTGCTAAAAGATATACAAAATAACGTAGGTTTACTAAAAAGAAAAAAAAAATCAGGATAAACAGATATGAAATGCAACATAAATTCTATGTTAGTAATATTGACACTCATATTGTCACTGAGCGTAGCGTCCTCCATGATGTCAATACAACGAGTGAGATCTTGTTTCAAACTCGACATAAATCCAGATTTTCATCAAACACGACAAACACGTAGATTGTTTGACAGACGCGTCAAACACAGCAGTACACTATCAAATAATTTGACAAACACGTAAAATTTGACAAACAATTTGATCGTTTACAGGGCACTTAATTTGAATTGCTTTACGGCCGAAACCAATAATCTATTCTGATCCAATTTGTTCCATCTAAGATTGGTATTACAATCAGTTTTTGGGATTAAGCATGCTAATAAACTATCTTCGGATTGGGTTTGGTATCTTAAATAGCAGTCTATCTTTGGGAGTGCGAATCACGGATTAAAGACTGACCTCTGTTCGAAAAAGGCAGTTTGTGCATGTCAATAACCAATCCGTCTACTTTGACGTTTGCTTCAATCCGTGTCAACATTTGTAGATTGCAATCTGAGAATTTCAGCAGTTTGCTACTTGGATTACAAGTTGGTAGAAAGAAGAAATGGCCATGGCATTATTATTTAGTGACAGTGACGATAGTGATTTGTTGTTCTTATCGGATACTGATAGCGAATCAGAAGAGGAACGGAGCGCGAGTTCCCGAAGATTAAAAAGGGTGAACTATATGCAGAGTCTCGATGATGCTGAGTTCACATTTAGGTTTAGATTATCTAAACCTGCAGTGGAGACTCTGTTAACACGATTGATGCCATTTGTACGTGTAACCTCTACAAGGTAGGTATCTACGTAGTTTCAATTTTGAGATTTAAAACGCATTTTACTTCATACGTTAAATGTTTTTATTTTTCAGGAATCATGGTGTATCACCACTGCATCAAATGTTGCTAACATTAAGGTTTTATGCATTGGGCACAATGTTAATTTCTGTAGCTGACTTTGTTGGAGTCTCTAAATCAACAGCAGGCCGAATAGTGCGCGATATATCATCAGCAATCGCCCACTTGTATGATGAATATATTTTTGTTCACCAACAAAGTGTAGAAAAGTTCTACCAAATTGCACGGTTCCCTTGTGTGTTTGCCGCAGTTGATTGCACTCATATACGTATCCAGTCACCATGTAAGCATTTGGCAGTTTAATACACTTTTGAATATGTTTTTGTCCTTAATATACCTAATATTCAATAGTTACTTGCAGCTGTTATAATAGGAGAAGAATTTAGAAATCGCAAGGGTTACTTTTCCTTTAATGTCCAAGCAATTTGTGATGCTGATTTAAGATTTATGAATGTAGTTGCTCGATGGCCAGGTTCAACACATGACGCTACAATTTTCAATAATTCTGTTCTTAGAGGTGAGCTTAAACTGTTTGAATTTGTTCTATTAATTTTTAAAATTGTAACAAAACTTTATTAATAAAATATATATCTTGCATATAGCGCAATGTGATGCAGGTATGTTTGGTAGCCGCTGGATGCTTGGTGACAGTGCTTATCCAAACAGATCATATTTATTAACACCACTTTTAAATCCTTTTACTGAAGCAGAACAGAGATATAACGAAGCACACATTAAAACTAGAAATACTATAGAGAGGTAATTTCAAACAGCTATAAAATACTAATATAATTAATTTATATGTTTTGTAGCCCACATAACATCTAATAGTATTTTGCTAATGTAGTACCATACTACCATAATATTATCTGGTATCAATTTATTTCTGCTATTTCAGAACTTTTGGTATTTGGAAGCGAAGATTTCCTATAGTGGCTCTAACAATGCGCTTGTCATTACCCAATGCCCAGGCTGTAATAATTGCAACTTCTGTGTTACATAATATTTGTAGAAACTACAGCTTGGAGGAACTTCCTGCAGAAGTGGATCTTCTGCTAGAAGATTCAGAAACTCATGAACATTCATATACTGAAGTCCAAGATGTGCAAGAAAGAGCAGTCCTTATTAGGAATTATTTTCAGTAGCATATTCACTGAACTGTTTGTTTTATCTGTTTTATTTTTGGATTAAAGGGCAGTAATTAATAAAGAATTTTATATTTTGTTTCTAATGTTTTTATTTTAATAATAATAAATATGCACAAATATTATATTTATACTGTAAGTATTACTTCTTTAATTTCTCTAATTCTAATTTTAATTTTTCGATTTCTAATGATAATTGTACATTTTTTAATTTATAATTTTCATTTTCTAAAAGGAGATTATCTAATTTAGTATCTAAGCATTTCTTCTTTGCTGTTAAATATTCAGCTATCGCATTGTTTTTCGCAGTCCGGCTGTCATCATGTTTAATTTTCTTTCTCACTGAAAAATTAATAAACTTTAGGTTGATTGATGGGTTCATGTTCATTATTTTGTAGGTAATATTATATTAAAGAAAGTATGATCATGATCCATAACCAAACAGGTTAACCATTGGAAAAATAAGTCTGTATTAAAATAACAACCCTAAGGCGGGTGCTACTCGCTCGATGATTATCTTGATAATTTGATCGAAATCCAGAATCACGATGGTTAGTATTGGCGTATCACGTATCGTGATACGGATCGCTGGATTTCTAGAAATCTACAAATTTACGATCTGTATCAATTATCGTCGATAAATATCGAGCATCTAGTGTCTGCCGTCTGGTCGATATTTATCGCGTCACTCGTCAGTATTCATTCTGCCAGCGATGGAAGAGGACGCGCATATTGACGTGGCACCCGCCGCACTTCAAACAAATGATCAAAAACATTTTGAACAATTGAAAGAATTCATACTTGTATTAGAAACACTACATACTACTACTGCTACTTGTGTAGTATACTAAAAAATACTAGATAAATATCGAGCGTATAGCATCCGCCTAAGAATCAATAGCGGCCTTCACACTTAAAGTTCGAACCGTAGGAACCAGCCCGCGCCATTCCGATCAGCCGTCCGTCCGTGTAGACGCGACAAATGCGTGGTGGTTTGACAGTTCGATGCGGCGCATTGGTGTGTACGAACGTTTGTACAGTTTTATGCGGGTACCTCGTGTGGATGACAATTATTTCAAAATGGCAGTTTGGAGCGTGGAAGCAGTGACAGGTTTTATAAGGAAATATCGGGAACATCCATGTTTATGGCAAGTTAAAAATCAGCCGGCTTTTACAAACCGTAATTTGAATCTTCAAACGAACGTCCAGTTGCCAGATATCTTAATGTTGCGGAAAGACGTTCTTCTGGTGTTATGCATTTTCTCATACCTGTATCTAAACTCTCGAAAAGCATTTATACGTACAGTTTTATCTGCAGGAAAGCGAAATAGACAGTTTGAACTGCAGTTACAATTGAAGCGTAAAGTAGAAGCACAGATCAGCGCGCGGTCTAGTCTGCACAGATTTATCTGCAGATTGGTGCGCAGTTCCAGAAATGCCATTCCGAACTGCACGTGTGAAGGCCGCTAAAATGTAATTATTAGTACCTGTCCTAGTTGTGCCAAGCGTGAATCTCCTTGGTTTTACATTTGAAGAAGCAGTCTCCTTGATGACACAACCCTTACCACCACTTTCACCAACACCCTCACCACCACCTTCACCATCACATACCACAATCTTTATTTCATGATCAGTGGACATGGGCATATACTCTACCACCTCGGTTAGATCGACAGCTACTGTCGCATCACCATCCCCACTTGTTTTACCATCACCGCCCATCAGCACACCACCATCAAGCCCATGTATTTCTCTATCACCCCCAAATGGCACAGTAAATCCACTGGCAGTACTCCCAAGCATACCAGTCACTCGGTCCAATATGTCATCTGGGGGTATAAACTCAGCGGGACCACCACCAGTCTGAAAAGATTTGTAAATAGAATATAAGTTGTACTAAAATCTGATAAAACTCAAAAATAAGTATTAACTACTATCACCTTAATTAGGTTCATCCTAATTTTAGTGCAGCGTTTGCGAGATTTTTTTTTTAAATTCTCCCATTTCAAACGCAGCTGCTGCGGAGTCCTACGACCAGTCGTGGTCCAAGCATTAAAGTGCGCAGTTAACTTAACCCACTCTTCATTTTTTAATTTATTATTGCTGGCATTCGTGGTTTTGGTCGTAATTATTTTGCTGGCTTCAATAAGGTCTATCAAAAACTTGCATTCTTCTTTTGTAAGAGGCTTGCCTTTTGCCTAGTAACAAAAAATAAATTTGTAATATTATATTAGGCGCAAAACTGAGCGTCAGTGGATTTTATATATTGTATAATAACAAATAGGTACTTACGATTTCATACTCCATTATTAACTATTGTCGTTGTCGTTAATATACTGGTGAAATATAAGCACAAAATATAAATATTCGTAATATATTTACAACAACCAAACGACAGTTTTTAGAAACTTGTCACTTGTGACAAAAAATAAACGTTCCGACCCTTACTAAAATCATATTACCACAAAAAAACATAAAAAATCATATTTATTAATTTAAGTAGAATATATATTATAATAAACGTTTTTAATATTAGCTACAACCAAAAATATTTGTTACTATAGATACATAGTAATTTTATTTCGTTCCAAAAACAGCAAACATTTGGTATGCTTGAACAAATATATTGCATTGAACGAAATGCGGTCGAAAGGGAAGGATCACGCAAAAGATTGCTGTCAATCTTTTGTCAAATAAACAATCGGATAGCAGAAATGTTTATTGGCATGCAGATTGGAGATCGGTCTTTAGATATGAATCAGTCCAAGATCGGTTATAATCATAGATTGAGGATACGTTATTAATTTTGGCCGTTAGAGTATAGACTCTAAAGCACGTGAAATGGTAGCTGCGTCAGATGTTAACTCACCATTATGTAACATAGTTGTAAAATTAGGATTTCATATGCTTATGTCCTTTTATGGAAGCATAGGGTACATAATGGACGGAAGTGGACTCAAGGAAGCTCTCAGTAAAAACATAATATATTTTCCTATACAAACTCTTGTCCATATTGTATTTTATATAAACTCTTTTAGATGTTGTCTTGGCCGTCTGATCGACGATGTTTAATTTATGTGACTTGACATACTTAATATTACATATTTTAATTTTTTTCATTATATTATTTTACTTAATAAAACCTATAATATAGGCTTTAAATGTTGTTTCTTTTGTATTCACAGAGAAGCGCAGTTGCGCCTTATTTATTCCCAGTATAAGCGATTGATACTATTATAAAACAACATTTTCTGCACATATTTCACGAAATATGGAAAGATTGAGGTTTGATTTTATTGTGAAACCGTTAGAAGATGGAAAATCTGTGAAGTATGTATATGTCGTGGGCTTATCGTTAGATTGGCCAGATCGAGATATGCCCGGGCACTTCTTGAAACGCCGGCACATCATGATTCGGCCGGGCATATCGCGATGCGCCAAGTAAAAGGTTGGGCAGATCGACGAGAATAACGTATTTGTCGATATTCCGCTGTCTTCGCGCGCTCGGCTTTGTTTACGCGAGCGGAAGATGGCGGCGTTACAAACAAGTGAATGTGGTGTTGATATTATCAAAATGAACAGTGAAAACGAAACAAAAAGTGCATTTAAAGAACAATATTACCATCAGTTACTTGATTTCTATGAGGGACATAAAGATTCTTCGCACAATGTAAAAAAACCATGGACTTCTCAACGTATTTTAGAGGTTAGTATTTAGTTGATAAACAAGTGTTTATTTTTGCATAATAATGTGTAGGTGATGCGTTTCTCTCATGTCATTATGTATTAAAATTCTTAGATTGATTAAGTAACTAATGTTTGTACGCTAAAGTTCCATTTTATTTTTTAGGTTATTGAACAAATAAAAAGAAGTAGGGTGACCATGCAGCGGGTCTCTTCGGACTATTATTGGAGTGCAAAATATGATGTCATGGAAACTTCTGACAAAGATTACTTAATTTTCAAAAGAAAAACTGCCGATGATCCTACAGTGCGCATAGTCGCCGTAGATGAATATTTTGATATATTAACAGAAGTTCACAAAGCTGTTGGGCATGGTGGCAGAGAAAAAATGATATATAGTATTAAAAACAAATTTCACATACCGAAAAAAGCTATAGAAATATACATTAAATTGTGTGCAGTGTGTGAAATGAAACGTTCCATGCCAAAAAAAGGTATAGTGACAAAACCAATTATATCACCAGATTTCAACTCACGAGGTCAGGTAGACCTTATTGATTTACAATCAGCTCCGGACGGGGAATACAAGTGGTTAATGAATTATCAGGACCATGCTACCAAGTTTCTACACTTGAGGCCATTGAAATCTAAGAGGGCTGTGGAGGTGGCGTTTGAACTATTTAAAATATTTTTGGAGTTTGGTGCACCATTAATTTTACAATCTGATAATGGGAAAGAGTTTACAGCTCATGTCATTGAAGAACTTGTGCAGTTGTGGCCAGAATGCAAGATCGTTCATGGAGGCCCTAGACGTCCTCAAACGCAAGGAAGCGTCGAACGTAGCAACCAAGACGTAGAAAACATGTTGCGTTGTTGGATGAAAGATAATGATTCTGCTAATTGGTCTGTGGGTTGCTACTTCGTACAGTATTATAAAAATTCATCTTTTCATCGTATAATTGGTAGATCACCCTATCGTGCCTTGTTCGGTTCTGACCCCAAAACATTACTGAAAGGTACTAATATCCCGGACAGTGTTATTTCATCTATTCAAACTGAAAAGAAGAATACTACGACAACCTCGATGGAGATAATCTTGCCTGAAGGGACAAATGTTGATGGCTTAAGTAGTAAAGCACTAACGCTTGATGATGAGATGGTTTCGGCCAAAGTGAATATTTCTGAAGCATTAAGTGTACAGGATGCCCCAACATGTATAAATGCGGCACCGGCGCCTGCCAATATCGCAGACAGTGTTATTTCATCTATTGAAACTGAAAAGATGAATATTACGACAACCTCGATGGAGATAATCT